TTCATTTTAGATAAATGGCTCTGCAGCTATGTGAAGACGGGTAGAAAGGTGGAAGGTGGGCTGAGACTAGAGAAGTGAGCGATAACAACAGAACTACAACAGTGGTAGCAGAGGCAGAAATCCATTGAGGAGCTGTTTCTACTTGGGTGTCTTTATAAGCAACTTAACCTCAACATGTATAAAACAAACTCATTCTTCTCCTAAATTGACGCCTTCTGTTTCAGGAAATGATCACATTATTCACCAAGCAGCTTAAATCAGAAACTTTACAACCATCTTTGCTTTTATTTTCCTCATCTCCAAAATCCAATTAAATACTACATCCTGTGGTTTCTCACTCCTTGATAGCTCCTAAATCCATTTTCTTTGTTCCACTTCTCCCACCACATCCTAGTCCACCATCATTTCTGTCATAGACCAGTGGAACAATTTCCTACCTGATGTGACACATCTCCTCTTGACCCTGGAAACCCATCCTCCATCTTGCTTACAGAATGATTCTTTTTTTTTCCCTCATTAAAAAATTTTTTTATGAATAAACAATTTTTTATCTTTATTCATATGTGCATACATTGTTCGGGGTATTTCACTATCAAGCCTATCACTATTTTGTTCAAAAGTCCTCAGTGGCTTCCCAATATTCCTAGGATAAAGTCCATAGGCTTTATCCTTAAGATGGCTTACAAGCCCTTGGGATCTGGATCCTGCCTAGTAATAATAAGAATACGTATATTTTTAACCATTTCTTATGTGCTGTGCTTTACAAGCATTATTCCATTTTATTCTCACAGCAACATATAAGGCTAGATCAGCATGGTCCACGTTTTGTAGATGAGAAAACTTATTAAGGAGAAATTAGGGAACTTATCTACAGTTGTACAGCTAATAAAGTACCGGAGACAGGTGGGTCTAATTCCAGAGCATGCGCTCTTAAATTTTCACATTCCCCTCAAACTACTTCAACCATGTTGAATCACTTTCAGTTCCTAGAATTCATTTGCTCTCTCCTGCCATGAGGCCTTCACACATACTATTCTCCATGTCTGGATCCACACAAAAATCTCATTGTGTGGGTAATATTTATTCTTTAAGCTGAGTGTAGTGGTGCATAACTGAGTCCCAGCACTGGCTGTGGCAGGAGGATTCCAAGTTCAAGACCACAGCAATACCTTGACTTACAAAATAAATAAATGTGATTGCCTCTGGGAAGTTTTCCTTCACTATCTAAAATTATTTATTAATTTACTTGTTTATTAAGGTCTATCTCCCTTTAGTAGAATGTCAAAATTGTTACCAGTGGTTCTCAGTTCTTAGTATGACATTCACCAGGTATGAATTTGTTGCATCGATGCATGCATGAATGAATGATGGGGAGGTGTAGAAACTCTTATCTACTGAAACTGATGAGAAACAGAAAGAAGGCAATAACTCCTTCATTCACTGGGTACTTAGTAGTAACTTCCGGTCCCAGCCAATAGAACTTTTAGCCCTCTTGGGGGAGACAGAAACATAAACATGGTTATAGAACAGTATAAGCAAAGTACCTCTTATAATAGGGACAGGAATAAAATACTCTTGATGGAGAAATGAAAAAGAAATATGCCTATAGGAAAACTTCACAATAGAGGAAATTCATGAATCCTTTTGCAGAACGAATGAAGCTTGAAATACATTTCACCTGTGAAAGGGGAAAGGCGCATTCATTATGTACTGGGGCACTTTGCATCTTATTTAATTTTTACAATAGCTCTATGTTCTTATTCTCATTTTATAAATGTAAGAATCAAAGTAAGAAAACTCAAGTAATTTGCCCAAGGTTACAGCTATACATTAATAAAGGAGTAGAATTTAAACCAAGTCTGACTGGTAAGGCCCATTTACTTACCATTTATATTGTAATCCATTGATACTGAAGCCAGTTTACTTTTATTTTTAATATAACTTTTAATAAGTTTGGTTATCTAGTTTCTCATGCTTATATAAATAACCAACCAAATGAAAGGTCAAAATGAGACCAAAGTGTAGTATAGCAAGTGAAAGGGCAAAAAGCCCTAAAAATTAGACACAAAAAATTTAAACAAAATATGGATCACATTCTACATTACTTGATGTGAATAATGATGACCCCATTATGATAAATTGCTTGTTACAGTGACTGTGTTCTAAGAGAGAAACAACCTTTTATGCTTACAAGAGTAATCTTCCAGTATCTAGAAAATTAATTCTTTGCTGGCAAAATTAGTTGTAATAATTGTTTCCAAAGTGTTTGTGAGAAAAAATGTCAAGATCTTAATTGAGCGTCTTCATTTTATGGATATGACTATTTTTCTGTTGCTTTATATTAAAGCCAGTAAAGAAAAACTGTCAGTTTTAACATACATATCCAATTAAATGATGAAATTCAAAATTTTCTTCTACATGACTGAGCAACACATGTGAGTTAATCTATGGATTGACAAGCATGGATAAAGTGTTACTGAACAGGCTTCATATCTACAAACAACATTTCTCTTAAAAATCCCATAAATTCCCTAATAAAAACAGTATACATTGGCTATAGACAAAATGGGGGGGATTACAATATTTTTAATCTGCTGCATTTGCCATTTAATGGTATGCATGTAAAAAAGAAACAATTTAGGCAAACACAAAGCTGGTTGAAGCATTTCTACCACCCACCCTATCCGGGTCCAACTTTTCAAGCTGAAGATGTTAGCTTCTTCATAACTTAAGTTTTTATTATTTTATATAGTTCGGGCGGGAGGAGGGGTGAGGTTGCATTTAGAAAATAAATTCTGTTTGTTTTGTTTTTAAGGGCAAGAAAAATTGTTTCATCAATTACCTTGAACAAGCTGACTAGGAAGTCTTTAGTATCATTTATTGTTTTAGAGGATTTAAATGTGAACCTTTCCACAGAACACTATTTGTAACAATGTGAAAAGTATACTGGCTACACTTAGAAACTAGTAAAAAGAAACAAAGACTTGACTTGCCATGAACTACAACTTCCATATATTTTTCTCCAAGCAATGCAGTTTTCTGTCTAAAACTCTAGAAAAAACAATTCTTGTTCACTTATATTTGAAAATACTTTTTAGTTTATCTTGTTCACTGTGGGCCAAAAAATTCAGTGTACAACAGATGCTCTAATGCAGAGTGAATTCCCAGTAACAGTTCACATAATAACCTATAAGCAAAACCAACGTAAATAATTGCAAATAAAATTTCACAGTATAGTTGTACTTAAAATGCTCTTCCTTACCTGGACGCTCTTCAGGATAAACTCACTTTTCTCCCTTACATCTTTAAAGGGGCACCTCTTAGAAAGCATAAGTAGATGAGCAAGAAGCTTATTCAACCCGTCCAAAGAAACAGCATTTGAAAGCCCGTCTGATGGACGACACGATGTCTCTTTCACCGAACGTAGACACTCGGTTTTTCTCAAAATGCTTTGCCTAATGTTTTCCAGGGCTGCCTCTCTAGTAGTGGAATCTCTGCTGCACAATCCGTCCCATCTCACTTCATTTTCTCCTTCAGCCATGACAATCCCAGTTTTTCCTCTGCAGTCTTCAGTTACCTCTCAGCATGCCCCAAAGCACTTTGTTTTTTAAATGAAAAAAAATGTACGAATAAAGTCGGAGAAATCGAGTTCGTCATGAAAACACACGTCTGTGTGACATTTGGAACCAGACGTGTCTTTTAAATTGATGCTTTCAATCGATAAACAGGACTGCTCACCCTCTCTCTTCTACACGAACGGGCGGTCAGAGGCAGAAAAACAAAAAACAAACAAACAAAAACAAAGTTGGAAAGCTGCAACCTTACAGCGCTGGCTTTGCTGGACAGGGAGTCACGGGGCAGTGTTCTCCGTCTCGCAGAGTCAGCGGATATCCTCACGTTGTGGAGCTGTCAAATCCGTGCTCTGCCCCAGAAGGCTGGTAACAGTTGAACGCCCTCCAGCCATTGGGGTTTTTGTCTGTGCACCACCGGTTCCCGAGCGTTCCCACCCCGCCCCTCCTCCGCCGCTAGTCTCCGCCCCCTCCGCGCCTCGGAGCGCCTCAGCCACCCGCCCAGCGCCCGCGGGGAGGATCACCCGGAGGCCGGCAGAGAGCCCTGGCCGCCGAGGCCCGAGACTCCTGGGTGGCGAACGTCTCCGCCAGTTACTTGCTCCGGGGGCGACGGTGATGGAGTGAATCCCCAAGCCCAGCCGGCTCCGGATCCCCGGAAACACGCCCCGTCTCCTCCAATCCCGACGTCCTCGCCCGACGCCTCCAAGCCAGAAGGCACAGGGCACACCGAGCAGTCCTCGAGCGCCCAGCTGAGCCGCAGAGCTGGCGGAGCAGCAGGGCAGAAGGCGCAGAGCCCGCCCCTTCGCCCAGCCCCATCGGTGGGGATCTGCCCAGAGGGCGGGAGCAGGGAGGGGAGATGGGGTCCTCACCCCCAGTCCCTCCCCTTTCTCCGCCCGGCACAAACCGGGAGCCGCCCCTGCCCCCAGCGTCTGCTTCCCCGCCCTAGCAGACACGACCCGCCGAGGCAAAGCCATTGGAAAAAAGCTCCGCCCTCTAGGCTACCTCCAGACCCCGAGCTTGCTGCGCGCGGTCGCCAACCCTGGCAGCTGATGCGCGTGTGCGACAGCGGGCAGGACGCATGCGTCTGCTGAGGCACTTAGTTTGCGCCGGCAGGCGTTTTCCGTTCCCGCACGTTGGAGCTGCTGGCCTGGAGAAGGAAAGGCAAGGAGCACGCTGAGATTTTTGTCACACGAGACAGGCGTAGCAAGTAAAGGACGCATCGGCATCCGTGGGAGAAATTGCATGTAAATTTAAGATTAGCCTAAAAATAGTGATAGCATCTTTAATGCCAAACCCCAGATTGGAAAGGGAGGGCGTCTCCGCGCTGACTTCTGGGTAATGTAGTTTTGGTGCAGCCGGCGCGTACTGTTTGCGACAGAAACTACTACTCCCAGCGGCCACCGCGACATTCCCTGTGGCTGTCTACTAACCAACGGTTTGAGAGGCAGGGGTTGACTGAGAGCGCCAGTCTGGTAAGCATTGTACGTTTGGCTATGACTTTTCCTTTGGTAGGATTTTTGCGTTCTCCATGTCCTCAGATTTTGAAGACAAAGCCATTGAGGGTTGCTGTCAATAGTTGAGGGAGTTTTTCCAGTGACCTAGGAGGAAAGGACTAGCACAAGTGCTAAAGCCCGGGGTCGTGATGAGGCGAAGATTTGGGAGTCAAAGATGCGGAGGGTCAGAGAGAGGCCTAAATAAGACCAGACAAGGATGCTTGAACACGGGCTCCGGCTGCTTCCTCCGTTGTCGCCCTGGCGTGGGGACTCGCGCTGAGTGGATTAGGGAGTCAGTGCAATCGCACCTTTGCCTTTGCATAGGGATGTTCCGTACTTTATTTGCTCAAATATCCCAAGCACGGTTTTGAACGCAAGTTGTCAAGTCCGTTTTGTATGAAAAGAACTGTCAGTATTCCTAGGGATGTATTCTTCCGGGTTTTAAGGATACTGTATGAAAAGAATCCTATTAAATTAAAATTTAATTCCTATTAAAATTTCCCAAATTTATAAGCCATTCTTGAGAAAACTCAGGTTTGAAAAGCCATCAGTGGACTGGTAATCAGATTTTTAATTGTTCACGTTGCAGAAATAGATGTATTTCTAAAATTTTAAACTTTTCTAGGCCTTGAGTATATACAACAGTGAAAAAGATTGTCTTATCTTGTTAGAAAAACCAGTGCTTAAGAATACAATTACAATACTATTGGATATTATTGGAGTGGTGAGGAGATCATTTAGTTCAATCTTATGAACTCAGGGAAACCTTCATCCCAGGGAAGGTGAAGACCAAAAGAACAACACCTATGCATTCAGTCAACAAATTGCTGATATGTGCCAACTATATGACAGGGCATTGAGATACAGCATCAAGTACTATCATGTCCCTACTATCATAGAGCTTGCATTCTAAGGGGGAATAATAAATAAATAAATAAATAACCATGTAAACTATATAGTAAATAAAGTAAAGAAACCAGCCTAGAAGGAGAATGAAGAATGCCAGGTTATGGAGAGAAAGATTCGCTTTTAAATAAGGTGGTCAGATTAGAACTGTTATCAGAATCGTTTGTCCAGGCTGCCTGCCACTGAATACCAGCATTAGGGAAATGAGCATCTATAGGAAGGAGTCACGTTTGTTCAAGGACTTGAGAAGATAGAGGAGCCCTTTTTTGCCTCAAAGCTTGAGGAGACAAGAGTACAAAGGGCTTCTATAGAGGGAAAAGGGGATACAGTGAGAGTGGTCCAGAAGAATATGAGCTGCCTGGGGAGATTTCACAGGCTGTGTTGGTGTCTTTTTCATCTAGGCCTCTCTTCTGTAACTCTAAAACATCGCAATTGACCTGGATCTCCTGGGGCCAGTGCCTGCATTTTCTTTTCAGACAGACACTTTTCTGCAAGTTAATCCCTATGATTTGCATTAATTGGTGCTACAACAAATGTTATTTACCATAGAACTAAAGGAAGGAGGGTTTATAGAGGTCATCAGAGGTTCTGGGTTCTAAAGAAAGACATCCAGGGTTGGCAGAATGGCTCAAGTGGTAGCACACTTGTCTAGCAAGCATGAGGCCCTGAATTTACACCACAATACCTCCAAAAAGAAATGAAAGAAATTTCATCCAGCAGTTAAAACCTTAATCAGCTAGTCTAGGTGGGTCTTCTCTTTAGCAAAAGAATTAGGGCGGGGTAGAAGGAGTGGTTGTGGCGCAAAGGATCATCTCAGAGGAGCCCTTGTTATAAAACTAATAAAAAAATGACATTGGAAAGGATATGAAGCAAGAGAGAGTAAACCATCTATATGCCTGGGGGAAGAACATTCATGTAAAGAGAACAGCTAATGCCAAGGCCTGTGGGCAGGAACAAACCTACCCATTTGAGAAACAGCAAAGATGTTCAGTGGCTGCAGGAGAGAAGAATAACATGAGGTCACAGAGAAAGGAGGTAAGGGCAGGACATCATGCAGGTGATTGAAATGGCTCTGAGCAAAGTGCCCAGGGGCTCACACCTGTAATCCTAGCTTCTCAGGAGTCAGAGATCAGGAGGATCAAGGTTTGAAGCCAACCTGGGCAAATAGTTCTCTAATCCTGATCTAAAAAAAACCAACACAAAAAAGGGGTTGGTGGAGTGGCTCAAGTGGTAGAGCACTTGCCTAGCAAGTGTGAGTTCAAACCTCAGTACCACCAAAAATAAATAAGTAAGAAAAGAAAGGGCTTTGACTTTTTTGATTGATAGGAAATCATTGGAGGATTTTTTTTTATTGTTTTATTATTCATATGTGCATACAAGGCTTGGGTCATTTCTCCCCCCTGCCCCCACCGCCTCCCTTACCACCCACTCCGCCCCCTCCCTCTCCCCCCCCTCAATACCCAGCAAAAACTATTTTGCCCTTATCTCTAATTTTGTTGAAGAGAGAGTATAAGCAATAATAGGAAGGAACAAGGGTTTTTGCTGGTTGAGATAAGGACAGCTATACAGGGAGTTGACTCACATTGATTTCCTGTGCGTGTGTGTTATCTTCTAGGTTAATTCTTTTTGATCTAACCTTTTCTCTAGTTCCTGGTCCACTTTTCCTATTGGCCTCAGTTGCTTTTAAGGTATCTGCTTTAGTTTCTCTGCGTTAAGGGCAACAAATGCTAGCTAATTTTTTAGGTGTCTTACCTATCCTCACCCCTCCCTTGTGTGCTCTCGCTTTTATCATGTGCTCAAAGTCCAATCCCCTTGTTGTGTTTGCCCTTGATCTAATGTCCACATATGAGGGAGAACATACGATTTTTGGTCTTTTAAGCCAGGCTAACCTCACTCAGAATGATGTTCTCCAATTCCATCCATTTACCAGCGAATGATAACATTTCATTCTTCTTCATGGCTGCATAAAATTCCATTGTGTATAGATACCACATTTTCTTAATCCATTCATCAGTGGTGGGGCATCTTGGCTGTTTCCATAACTTGGCTATTGTGAATAGTGCCGCAATAAACATGGGTGTGCAGGTGCCTCTGGAGTAACCTGTGTCACAGTCTTTTGGGTATATCCCCAAGAGTGGTATTGCTGGATCAAATGGTAGATCAATGTTTAGCTTTTTAAGTAGCCTCCAAATTTTTTTCCAGAGTGGTTGTACTAGTTTACATTCCCACCAACAGTGTAAGAGGGTTCCTTTTTCCCCGCATCCTCGCCAACACCTGTTGTTGGTGGTGTTGCTAATGATGGCTATTCTAACAGGGGTGAGGTGGAATCTTAGCGTGGTTTTAATTTGCATTTCCTTTATTGCTAGAGATGGTGAGCATTTTTTCATGTGTTTTTTGGCCATTTGAATTTCTTCTTTTGAGAAAGTTCTGTTTAGTTCACTTGCCCATTTCTTTATTGGTTCATTAGTTTTGGGAGAATTTAGTTTTTTAAGTTCCCTATATATTCTGGTTATCAGTCCTTTGTCTGATGTGTAGCTGGCAAATATTTTCTCCACTCTGTGGGTTTCTCTTCAGTTTAGAGACCATTTCTTTTGATGAACAGAAGCTTTTTAGTTTTATGAGGTCCCATTTATCTATGCTATCTCTTAGTTGCTGTGCTGCTGGGGTTTCATTGAGAAAGTTCTTACCTATACCTACTAACTCCAGAGTATTTCCTACTCTTTCCTGTATCAACTTTAGAGTTTGTGGTCTGATATTAAGATCCTTGATCCATTTTGAGTTAATCTTGGTATAGGGTGATATACATGGATCTAGTTTCAGTTTTTTGCAGACTGCTAACCAGTTTTCCCAGCAGTTTTTGTTGAAGAGGCTGCTATTTCTCCATCATATATTTTTAGCTCCTTTGTCAAAGACAAGTTGGTTATAGTTGTGTAGCTTCATATCTGGGTCCTCTATTCTGTTGCACTGGTCTTCATGTCTGTTTTTGTGCCAGTACCATGCTGTTTTTATCGTTATTGCTTTGTAATATAGTTTGAAGTCAGGTATTGTGATACCTCCAGCATTGTTCTTTTGACTGAGTATTGCCTTGGCTATTCGTGGCCTCTTGTGTTTCCATATAAATTTCACAGTAGATTTTTCAATCTCTTTAATGAATGTCATTGGAATTTTGATGGGAATTGCATTAAACATGTAGATTACTTTTGGGAGTATCGACATTTTTACTATGTTGATTCTACCAATCCATGAGCATGGGAGATCTCTCCACTTTCTATAGTCTTCCTCAATCTCTTTCTTCAGAAGTTTATAGTTTTCCTTGTAGAGGTCATTCACATCTTTTGTTAGGTTTACACCTAGGTATTTGATTTTTTTTGAGGCTATTGTAAATGGAATTGTTTTCATACATTCTTTTTCCATTTGCTCATTGTTAGTGTATAGAAATGCTAATGATTTTTCTATGTTGATTGTATATCCTGCTACCTTGCTGTAGTTATTGATGATGTCTAGAAGCTTCTGAGTTGAGTTTTTTGGGTCTTTAATGTCTAGGATCATGTCGTCTGCAAATAGGGATATTTTGACAGTTTCTTTATCTATTTGTATTCCTTTTATTCCTTCTTCTTGCCTAATTGGTCTGGCTAGGAATTCCAGTACTATGTTGAATAGGAGTGGAGATAGTGGGCATCCTTGTCTGGTTCCTGATTTTAGAGGGAATGGTTTCAGTTTTTCTCTGTTAAGTATAATGCTGACTGTAGGTTTGTCATATATAGCTTTTATAATGTTGAGGTACTTTCCTTCTATTCCTAGTTTTCTTAGAGCTTTTATCATGAAATGGTGTTGGATTTTATCAAAGGCTTTTTCTGCATCTATTGAGATGATCAAGTGGTTTTTGTCTTTGCTTCTGTTAATGTGGTTTATTACGTTGATTGATTTTCGTATGTTGAACCACCCCTGCATCCCTGGGATGAAGCCTACTTGGTCATGGTGAATAATCTTTTTGATGTGTTGTTGAATTCGGTTTGCCATTATTTTGTTGAGGATTTTTGCGTCAGTGTTCATTAAGGAGATTGGCCTATAGT